AAGTTGAAGAAGAAATTGTTGATGCAAAAGTTAAAATTAGCGTAGCTATGATTAACGATGACATTAACAAAATCAAGGTGAAAGTCAATGAAGTTGAAGGGGGAGTCAACGAGGTTGAAGAGAGCATCAACAAAGTCGAAGATAGCGTCAACGGGGTAGAAGAGAACGTTAGCAAGGTTGAAATGGGAGTCGATGAGTTTCGAGAGGGTGTTAAAAATAAATTTGGGGAAGAATTTGAAGTTGTAAAATTTGTTCAAGAAGAGGAAGGTGCACGTGAAGAGAAAGAACAAGTGGATTGCGTTGAGGTATGTGATCTAATTGTAGATAATGTTTGTTGTGAAGTTCCTGTATCGGCGAAATTGGTGGAGCCATTGAGATTTTCGATTAAGAAGCCAATTTTTCCAACGCCTCGTTTGGAGGAAGATTTTGAAAGCGAGATTTTTGTGCCGGGAGTATTGGTGGAGCACTTGAAGTTGTTTCGAAAGAAATATGCATCGCTATATTTTGATCATAGCTCGAGGGCGAGCTCTTTTGAAGAAGAGGAGATTGATAAGGGACGACGTCAAATTGGATTCGTGTTGCAAAATAACTATTTAATTCGGAGAAGAGTTATTAATGGCCATTGGTGGAAATATCGAAAGAAATTATGGAAAAGTAAGGGTTTTCGAAAAACTCAAATCGTAGTTGAGTACGAAACGAACTCTATCTCAAGTGAAACGGCGCAAGGAACAAAACTCATGAGCAAAGCTCATGAATCACGTCCAATTTCAGCAATCCAACGTCATTTAGACTCCTAAAAGTTCGTTTTTGCTATTTTAGGTAAGTTTTAGAAAATTAATATCAAATCGTAGAAAAATCGGATTAGGATTCCGTAAATTGGGTTGTTCCCAAAATTACGAGATCTACTAGAATCAGACTCTAACTCGTTTTTGCCGTTTTTGGTAATTTTTAGTATTTTCTTATTTTAATTAGGGTTTTCAGTTTTTTAGTATAAATAGCTGCCTTAGGACTTTATTTTAGAAGATTTTTCGAATTTTAATAAAATATTTAGAGTTTTCTCTATTTTCTGGTGGATTCCAGAGTTTTCGGTGGATTCCGAATGTTATTTTGTTCTATAGGATTAATTCGTAGAAATTAATTCTTTACCGTGCTTCCGTTCTGCGTCAAGGGGCCAAAACTAATATTCAAAAAATAAAATACCAAATATCTAAAAAAAATAAAAATTCATGGGGGGTCATCGGCCCCCCCATGCCCCTTGCAAGCACCACCCCTGGTGTGCGCGCATGTGCGCGTGTGTGTGTGAATGGTAAAATCTATCCGGTATAGCATATAGTATAAACATGTTCGATTTTTTCTATGCTAAGCCTCATAAAGTTTACACCGGACAGAGTTTTACTGTTGATCTATAAAATACATACATCAATGTAAATGTGCGAGTGTTTGTGTGTATATGAATGGTAAAGATATACCCAGTATATTTCACCCAAAAAAGTGTAGCATTGTATAATACACAAAATAGTGTTAGATTATAAATGTATATATAATTGTGGAAATAATATATATATAGTGATATTAAAATAAAAAATCAAGCCGGCCCACGATCGAGACTCTAGAGAGTTCCACGGATATATGGCGCAGTATTCCGTACAATGGCCCATGAGAACAACTGAACAAAGCCATCTATTGTGGTTGTTAGTGAAGGATTCTATTTTTTTTTTGTTATTTATTTATTTGGGTAAATTAAAACCACCTCCTTAAGGTATGGTCAAATTACGAAAACCCCACTCTTGTTTAGATAATTACAAACACCCCCTCAACTCCTCAAATTTAGTGGAATCTTTGAGATTATATGGAAAATATTATCACTTTTGTACCCGTTTTATCCCATTGGAACTCTACATTTTGAAGCAAGATGATCATAATATGTGTTTTTTGGCTTGTATATATCGGATTGTGGTGCATCAGAAACTGTATTTTTACACAAAACGAGTACAAACTAGAGCACATTCCACGAAATCTAGATGATTATGTTGATTTTGACGGTATAAGGGTGGATGTGTAAGAAAAAATCATAGTTGAGGGGGTAGATGTAATTATCCAAACAAGAGGGATTTTTTCGTAAATTGACCATACCTCTGGGGGGTGTTTGTAATTTACCCTTTTTTTTGTGTTTTCAAAAATCAAATGAGATTTAATTGTTATGTTTGATTGTTTAAATTCTGTTCAAATAAATTTTGAGTGTTAATTAATGTTTTCAATTTCTTTTTCCTCAATTCGTAATTTGGCCCTTCACATTATATTTGCAATTTGAAATATAAATTTTCAATTGTATTGAATATAATGAAACAATTTGAACCATATGGTTTGGATAATAATTGTAATTTAGATATGAATAGTAGGGTAATTTACACCCACACCCCTGAGGTATGCTTAAATAACTTTAAGGTCTCTGTGGTATCGATAATTACACTCACCCCCTTGAAACGTAGTTATAAACTCTAATGGGATAATGCATTGGATACGATATCACGACAGAGAGTTCTAACGGACTATTGATTTCAGGAACTGGTGGAGACAACAAAGAGCTATGTGTGATTTAAGAAATATTGGGGGAGCCATGTCAACTCGTAACTCCCCATAACTTTTTGTTATCTCCACCACTAGCTAAAAGTAATAGTCCATTAGAACCCTATCGGAATAATGTGTCCAAAGCATTATCCCGTTAGAGTTTCTAACTACGTTTCAGGGGGTGAGTGTAATTATCGATACTATAAGGACCTTAAAATTATTTAAGCATACCTCAGGGGTGTGGGTGTAATTTACCCTAAATAATAAGCACATAAATGTCCAATGAAGTCAAGCAAAAAAACCCTACTCGAGAGATGCTTTAAGAATTGTAATTTGCAAAACTTTATTTTAAGATGCAAAAACAAAAGTTACACTGCAAAACAATCACAAATTAATCATGAAACCAAAAAAAAAAAAAAAAACTTATCTTTGAAATTCAACAAGTCACTATGTTTATATGCGATCTTTGAGATCTTATATAAGGTGAAATATATAGGATAATTATTAACCGTCAATGTGGAATTATAACTTTCCACTAAGTGTACATACATATGGATGTGTGTGATTGTATACTGATCAACGATTAATAGTCATCCGATATATTTCACCGGGTATAGTATCAAACAAACCGTTTATCCGCTATGTATACATTGATTATGTATGCATTATATTTATATGTAGTCTACGTGCATGATATATTATATATGAAAATATAAGGAGACTAATAAAATGCCAAACTTTATCCTAAACAAATTTTGAAAGACAAAATTAGTCGGAATTACTTTGGTTGTGAATGTCTATTTCGAGTATGTATATACAACTCAATTTACAGTTAAATCTCTTTAAATTAATATAATTGGGTTATCAAAATTCTAATTTAGTGAAATATTAAGTTATTGAACTAATAATTTAATGCGTTTTCACCGAGTTAAAACCAAGAAAAAAATATTATTTAAACGAGGTTATTAAATTATTGAGTATTAATTTATCTGGGTTCTACTGTATTTGAGAGATATATAGAAAAATGTCATTATCATTCTAAGATTAAGGGCCCGTTTGGCTAAGCTTATTTTAAACAACTCATAAACTCGTACGTCTGATAAGATATTTTAAGAGTTGATAAACTGTTACATCTTATTTTTAGAATTAATTTTTTAAGTGTTTGGATAATGAGCTTATATGCCACTTTTACTCGTCATATGATCTTAAATAAAAAGGTGGGGAATAAATATTTTAAAAAAAATCTTATTTGTTGTCCAACAGCTTAATTTAAAAAAAAAACTTAAGACTTTAAAAAAAAATACCAAACACTTTGAAGAGTTTATAAGCTCTTATACATCATATAAACTCTTTTTAACATCTTATAAGATTAGCCAAACACCCTCGTAGAAGAACGAAAATCAAAAACCCAATTAATTATCAAAATATTTGTACTCTATGTATATATTATAATAATTATTAAAAGTTCATATTCGAAAAATGTCATTATCGTTCAAAAATTTAGAAGGACAATCATATTTTTGCATTTTGCTAAAAAAATATCGGACAATTTAGTTAGAGAATTTAGTCATGAAATAATTATTTTAGACTGAAAATACTTTATTATCCTACAACTCATGTCTTCAAACCCATATTCACTCAAAAATAAAAAAAAAATAAAAAAAAACATTTTTTTCACATCAAAACCACTTATTATCTATTTTCAGTCAAAGTTGTCCATTTTTAGTGTAAGTTATCCAACTAAGTTACCCGATGGAGTTTTTAGCAAATTCAAAATTTTCAAGCGCACTATTAGTTATACAAATTATTTTGAGAGAGTTTTAGCCAATTTTTTTAAAAAAAATATCCATACTAAGCATGTCTTCAAAGGGTTTATCCATAATGGTCAATGATTTTTCAAATGCTTTAATTTGTTCATATAAGGAAAAAAAATACGTAATATGATTTTTACTATCTCATAAATATATTTAGATCTTGTTGTTCAATAATAAAAGTATTTCACCAATCCAATTTCATAAGATAGGATTTTCTTACCATGTATTTTCTTATTATTTTCATGCTACACCCAATAAAGTTACATTAAGTGATTTTTTACCGTTGATCCATTCACATCAATATATGTATATAAATATGTAAGTATATGAATGGTAAAGATCTATTCGAGATATTTTCACACATACTGTAACATAGTATAAATTTGAAATACCTACCTAAACTATTCACTCACTTTCATTTTTTATCCAAATGAAATAAATAATAATATCCAAAAGTCAAACACATGGATATTTTGGTTAATTTCATTAATACAATCCTATTTTATATTATAATTAAATATTTACTTTATCTTACACCCAATCGAATCCTTCCCGCCTATATATACCCCATCAAAGCCTCTTTCTTTCTCTCAACAATACATACAATTTTTTTTCTCTCAATTTATATATAATATGGACAAGAGTGTATATTTTGTGCCAATTTTTATATTATTCGTATCAATTATATACTATGTCTTTTCAATTAAATATAATAGTAAAAGAAAACATAGTAAACTTCCACCTGGTTCAATGGGTTGGCCTTACCTTGGAGAAACTCTCCAAATGTATTCTCAACATCCAAATATGTTCATCTCCACCAGATTCAAAAGGTTTTCTTCTTCTTCTTCTTCGTCGTCGTCTTTTTTTTTTTTTTTTTCATATTGGTCGTCTTATATGTATTCTTTTACGAACTAATCCTTAGTATTTTTTCGAATTGCTAAAACTTCTATTCTTCTTATGAGCATCATAAACCCTTTTGCTTCAATTTACATTTTTTAAGCTCGTTTTTCCCGATTGATTATGCTCGTTGATCAATTGAAAATCGACACACTCACAACCCCTTTACTCACTTTATTTCTACTTTATGTTATATATGCATTTATGTTGTTTTAATTCAAATTCCGCGAGTGAGTTACACGATCAGTCTTTGACTTTTGACTTCCGATCGACAAGTCTACACTAATAAAAACAAAATACGAAACATTTTTCGGCAATTTGAATATGTACTATAGGAGTGTCGAATAAAAAAAAAAAAGAAAAAAAGAAAAAAAACACCACTAATTAATGAAGATTTTTGCGTGATTAATTAATTTTCTTGAATTTTGCAGGTATGGAGAAATCTTCAAGAGCCACATTCTTGGTTGCCCTTGTGTGATGCTGGCGAGCCCGGAGGCGGCCCGGTTCGTGCTAGTAACCGAGGCTCACTTATTCAAGCCCACTTACCCGAAAAGCAAAGAGAATCTAATCGGGCCACGGGCCCTATTCTTCCACCAGGGCGACTACCACACGCGCCTCCGGAAACTCGTGCAGGGCTCCTTGTACCCGGAGACCCTCCGCGGGCTCGTACCCGCCATTGAAGATCTTACTGTTTCCGCATTGAACTCGTGGGCTTCTGCTGCTGACGTCATCAACACGTACACCGAGATGAAAAGGGTTCGTTATAACTTATAGTATAATCATCATGCATGTTTATATATATATATTGATATATTTATACTAGCGTTTCTTACTTTTATATATATACCGACATAATTTAAGGGCGTAATTGTAAATATATTTATTTATTAATTTAATTTATTTATTTTTTCTTGTGTACAGCTCTCTTTTGAAGTAGGTATACTTGCTATTTTCGGCGATTTAGAGCCTTACTACAAAGAAGAATTGAAGAAGAATTACATTATTGTAGATAGAGGGTATAATTCTTTTCCGACGAAATTACCGGGCACGCTATATCGAAAGGCGATCAACGTAAGCAAGAAACAAAAAAAAAAAAAAAAAAAATACTATTCATTAATTTTACATATTTATGCATGATGATTAATTATGATATATATTAAATAATTGGTGAAGGCAAGAAAGAGGCTGAGTGAAATTCTGAACAACATAACAAGAGAGAGAAAGGAGAGGAAGATAGTCGAGAAGAATCTTTTGAGCTGTATGCTGAATAATTCGAACAACGGTGAAATTTTAAGTGAGGATCAGATCGCGGATAATATAATCGGAGTGCTGTTTGCGGCGCAGGACACCACGGCGAGTTCCATGACGTGGATTGTTAAGTACCTACACGATAATCCGAAACTACTCGAGATTGTTAAGGTAATTTAATTACTTTAGTTAGATTTAATTTAATTTAAATTTGTCTTGGTTTAATTGTAAGCATTTTAATATTTTGGAAATGTGGTGTATATATGCAGGATGAACAGAAGGCGATATACGAATCGAATGGCGAAGGGAAGAGTCCTTTGACATGGTCTCAAACGAGAAATATGCCGTTCACTAACAAGGTAACGATAAAATAAAATAAAATTAAATTAAAAATATTTGATATATGATCAATTCGGTATTAAACGATTATGTGAAAAAATAATTCCAGGTGATTTTGGAGAGCTTGAGAATGTCAAGCATTATATCTTTCACATTCAGAGAGGCAGTGGAAGATGTTGAATACAAAGGTGCAATTTTATTTTCAGACAATGTCAAATTATTACAGCAATTTAATGCAAATGAAAAATATACAAATATAAGACCACGTACAGTAGAAACTCGATAAATTAATAACATCGCTTAAATAATAATTTCTCTCGGTCCCAACTCGATAAAAACGTAATATTTCACTAAATTAATAGAATTTTACTGGTCCCGACTGTTTTAATTTATAAAGGTTTAACTGACTGTTTTAATTTATAAAAGTTTACCTGTATATATATTTTTGGTCAAAGAGATTATATTGATGTATATATAATTATTCAGGTTACCATATTCCAAAAGGATGGAAAGTGATGCCTTTGTTCAGGAATATTCATCACAATCCGCAATTCTTCGCCGACCCTCAAAAATTCGATCCCACAAGATTTGAGGTTCGATATTCGACACTCCAATTATTCTTATGAAAATTCACTTGATATTTATTTATATATGATTTTTTTATATAATATTCTTTTACGTGTCGTTTTTGTAGGGTGCACCGAAACCAAACACGTTTATGCCGTTTGGGAGTGGCGCACATGCCTGCCCGGGCAACGAGCTTGCCAAGCTAGAGATGCTCATTTTCGTGCACCATCTAGCTTCTCAATTCAGGTACATACATACATTAATCTTTTCTATTTTTCATGTCGATGTTGAATGACCACCTCAACCAAAAGCTTAAGCTGAAATGTATCGTTTAATATTAATTTCTCCACTAGTCGAAAATCAAGAAAGTACATTTTGGATAAAAAAAAAAAAATCGTAGGTTCCGTAAGAGGTCCGGGCCATGTGCATCAGTGCATGAATCGTATACGAATCGCGTGTACGATTCTTTCGTATACGAAAAAAAATCCACGATATGATTGATGAAGATCTTGTTTTTTACAAGTAGTGGGATATGATATTTTTTTCTGACAGATCACTGTGTGTGTGTGTGTGTTTGTAGGTGTGAATTGGTGGGATCTGAAAGTGGGATTCAATTTAGTCCATTTCCAGTGCCATTGAATGGGCTACCAGCAAAATATTGGAAAACAAGAATGGACCAGATACAAACTTCATGAGGAATCTCAATTGATACCATCAAATTAAATGTCACATTCATTATTATTATAATTATTAACCATAGTTAAATTATACCTATAGTCTTTTTTATTTTATTTTTATTTTTCTATAAATTGGGAAAAATCCCATTTTGATGGGGATAAATGATGCCCCTATTTAAATTACAATTGAGGGAGACTTCCACTTATGTCTCCATCTATTACAGCTAGCAAGATATTGTACTGTTTTTTTTACATTCAGAAAAATTGTCAATATTAAAAAGAAATTGAAATATAATTAGGGCAAATTACGGCCACCTCTGAGTTATGGTCAAATTACGAAAAACCCCCTCAACCATGTATTATCTTACGAAAATACCCCTTCAAAGGTAAACTTAGGGATGTTAAGTCGGTAAAAACCTAACTGAATTTTCGGAACGCCAACATTTCATACCGTTTATCGAACTAAATATAAGATTTGGTTCGATAAATAACCAAATTACATAAATTTTATGAAAAGTATCTAAAAAGAGAGGGATTATTGTAATTATCCAAACAATATAGATTTTTTTTTTAATTTAACCATACTTTAGTGATAATCGTAATTTGCTCTATAATTAAATTGGAATTATATATTGGAAAAAGACAGACCGACATTATAATCTTGAATGCCTTGTCAAATTTCCATGAACATAACATAGATGATGATGATTGATTGTGTTTTGTTTCATGTCATATGTCTTAAGGCCACGTGTCCAGACAATTTTGTGTACTTTGTATAAAGTATATGTTTGTAGTGAGATGGATAGAGAGAGAACCAACCAGGTGGTGAGTGTGTGATTGGTTGAGTGAAAGTTGGACCATAGTGCCCTCAGCTGGAGAGCACACTCTAAAATTGTATGCGAAATAAGACTGATAATCAAATCAAACCACTCAATTCTTGATTTAATTGTATGCGAAATAAGATTGTAATCAAATCAAACAACTCGATTCTTGATTTAAATGATACGATTACGTGTCTGTAAAAGTTAGAGTAGTTATCTAATGAACCAATTTTTAATACATGTTTTCGTTTGATAAGATATAAAGCTCGATTTGAATTCTGGCTCAATCTAGTCGAGCTCGACTGCGTAGTTAACCAAGTTCAAACTCCAAACACAATTTCTAAAGCTCAATATGCTCAATCCTTCCACAAAGGTGCTAGAAATTGCAACAAATTGTTTGCCATTTAAGATTCTAGAAATTTGAGGATTTTATGTAATATTTTAAGATATGATCTATTCTGATAATGTCCGAAATGCAACAGGATGTTTTGACTTTCGCGAATTTCGGGCCTAGAGATAAATTTAATATGGTCCATTAAATCAAAGGTCTTCCATTGTTTAAATATCATCGCTCGTAAATATCAATCAAGAGTTCAAAAACTCACAAATATGATACATATTAGAGCATCTCCAATCATCGATGTTAAAACTGACTTGCTAAATGTTATTTTAGCTAATGAATAGTATTTTAGCAAGTCATATTTAGAATATGTGTAAATTACAATGAAATCTTTAAGGTGAAGTTAAATTACAAAAAAAATTCTCATGATCGCATTATTGGAACAGTCGTCCGCAAATTCTAAGATAATTTATAAAATATCTAAATTACCCTTCATTTAAATAAAAATGAAAAATATAAAGGGGTAATATGCTAGGAGTCCCTCAAACCAAACCTAATTTGAACTAAATGACAAGTCCATATTTACTCTTTTAATTAAATCCTTAATTTAAAATAATATATGAGTCACATCCCTAATATTTTTAATATCCCAATCTTGCCCTTATACCCTAAATCTTATAAACTAAATATTACGTTTCTCTTTATCAGATCTATTCTTCTTCTTCTTCTTCTTTTCTCTCTCTCTCAATCTCACGCTCTCTCCCTCAATCTCGTCTCTCCCTCTCTCTCAATCTCCCGTATTCTTCTTCTTCTTTTTTCTCTCTCTCTCAATCTCACGCTCTCTCTCTCAATCTCACGCTCTCTCCCTCATCTCGTCTCTCCCTCTCTCTCAATCTCCCACTTTCTCTCCCTCAATCTCACTCTTTCTCTCGCCACCACTCCATGATTGAGGAAGGTGGTGGCTATGGCGACGACCACGGCGGTGGAGGCGGCTGCCCAATGGAAAATAACTATGACGGTAAGAAAGCTACAACGGTGGGAGGAGGCGTTGTGGTGGCGCGGTGCTGGGTTGTTGTCCCAGCGGCACGCTCGAGGTTCGAGGATGATGCTGGTGGTGCGGTGATGCTGGGGTAGGCGACGGCAAAGTGTGTGGAGTTGGCGATGGTGGCGTGGATGGGAGTGGGTGACCTTGTCGTCACAGATCTAGGGTTTGGAGGGGTGGATCTAGGGTTTGGTTTGGAAGATTCAAAATTTTTCGATTTGATTTCTGTAGTTGTCTATGAGTTACTATGAGTGTCTGACGGCTAGGGTTCAAATGAGGAGTTAGGGTTTCAAGAATATGGGGTCAGAGATGTCTACGGTTTACTATGGTATTCTGTGGTATCCTATGGGTGTCTATAGATGTCTATGGCCGATTTTTTTTTTTTTTTTTTTTTTTATTAAATTTATAGTTTTCAATATTATATAGAAAAATATATATTTCTATAATAGTGAAAAAATACGAAAATGAAAGAAAAAAAAAAAAGTTACATAACATTCTTCACATAATGTTCTTCTACGTAAAAAAATAATAAAATAATGTTAGATCCAAAAATATGTTAAATAAAGAATAAAAAAATGATAAATGCAATTTAAATATTATTTGGTGCATATTTTATATTTTGTGAATGAAGGGCATTTCTGGAATGAAATTTATAAAGGATGTGAAGCAAAAGTTTAGTTAGACTTGTTATTTAGTTCTAATAAGTTTTGTCACCAGGGACCTATATCTTAAGACCCCAAATATAAAAGCTATTAAAAAATGCATATCCCACCCTTCTAATGTTGAAGGACTAGGCCATTATTTTTCCTTTACACCTGGTGATATCAGGGCATTTTCTATCATCATTCTCTATCACCAGCATTCTCTCTGAACTGCTGTGATTGCTGCAATTCACCTGGTGATACGTCTCTCGCCTAATCAGCACCTGGTGATACGTCTCTCGCCTAATCAGCGCATTCTCTCTGAACTGCTGCAATGAAAAACAGATTGAGCTGGTGATATGTCTCTCGCCAGAACAGGGCATTCTCTCTGAACTGATACGAGCCGGTGATACGTCTCTCGCCAGATCAGGGCATTCCTTCTGAACTATTGCAATGAAGAACGAATTGAGGGAGCAGATTGAGTAAGGTAGTGACCACGATTTCTGGGGAAATTGCAAAAAAAATGTATTTATTTAGAGTCCTGTTCTTTAAGATTTTATCTTTTATACAACTGTAATTTGTTTTTGTTTTTTTTAATTGACAACATTGTAATGATATATATTTGGCCACAATGATAACAATGGATTAAATAAATTAATTATGTGTCTTTTATGTTTAAAAATATTTATAATTATTATATTTGACCCACTCTGTTTATGATAAATTTTACAATGGCCAAATATGCAATATCTTTTTTAACCCTCAAATAGGAAATATTTAGAATTAAATCAAATTGACTTTTAAAGAGTTTTGTCTACACCTAAATTTCATTTTTAATTAGTGAGACCCCCTTAGACTAGCGTGAGAAGATAAAAATATTTTTAACTACTATAATCCTAATTATTTGCCCACATTTACCACTTTTATCTTCTCTCTGCTCCACCTCTCCACCTAAATTCCTCAACTCTCTCCGAACATTCCAACCTTCCTCCACCTCAATGCCGCACCGCACCACAGTCGTGCCACCGCCACTCGTTGCAGCCACCGTTTCCTCCTTCATCTCCACATAAATAATCGCTTTCTTTCATGTTCGTTGCCTCTCTCGATTTCTCTCTCTTTACACCAGAATCCTCTCCACATAAATCTGTACACCACCACCACCGTCGCCGCTCGTTGACGTCGCCGCCGCCTCCTTTGTTTCCACGTAAGGCTCTTTCTCTCTTTTTCGTTATCTTTCTTGATTTATCAGTTTTTTTTTTTTTTTTTTTTTTCTGTCCACCACCACCACCGTCGCCGCCTCTCTCACTCTCCCTTTCGTTCACCACCGCCGCCACCGCCGTTGTCGTCGACTCCCCCTCCCTCTCTTTCGTTATTTTTCTATCTTTATTTATATATTTTTCGATTTCTCCATTTTTTTCCTCTCCAGATCTGAAAATACAGTTTCATATCTGAACAACAGCTGTAACATGACTATAGTCATATTCGAATATAATTATAATCATATTGATTTTTACGAATTAATCATATTAAACAGTATTAACGGAATCCACGAAAACTTTGGAATCCACTAGAAAATAGATAAAACAATAAATATTTTATTAAAATTCGAAATTCTTCTCAAAATAAAGTCTTAAGGCAGCTATTTAAACGAATAAACCTGAAAACCCTAATCAAACTAAGAAAATACTAAAAATTACCAAAACCAGAAAAATGAGTTAGAGCCTAATTCTAGTAGATCTCATAATTTTGGGAACAACTCAATTTACGAAATCCTACTACGATGTTTCCATGATTTGATATTAATTTTCTAAAACTTGCCTAAAATAGCAAACACGAACATTTAGGAGTCTAAGCGATGTTGGATTGCTGAAATTTGATGTGATTCATGAGCTTAACTCATGACTTTTGTTTCTTGCGTCGTTTCACTTGAGATAGAGTTCGTTTCGTACTCAAATACAATTTGAGTTTGTAGAAAACCCATATTTTTCCATCATTTCTTTCGATATTTCCACCAATGCCCCTTAATAACTCTTCTCCGAATTAAATAGTTAATTTGCAATTTGAATCCAATTTGACATTCCTTAACACATATTTATGTATTTTTCGAATATGATTGTAGTCATATTCGAATATGACTATTCTTGAATAATTGTAGTCTATGGGTGCAAGTTGGAACGCAATTTCCAATTTCCGCCGGTTCCGATTCGAAAAGTTTAGATTTTGGAACAACTTTTTTCATTCCGACTTCCGAAATCCGATTTTCGGTTTTTTTTTTTTTTGAATTGGAATTGGAATTATATCACATAAGTTTGGAATTTCAAATTTTTGATCCGATTTAATTCCGAAATTAATTACGAAAAAATTCGATTTTTTTTCCGA